AATGGCCACCTGGTGAAGCTTAGGGTCTTCATAACTCTTTCTCATCACAGGAGGGAGGAGTAATAGGCTGTGGGCATGAGGAAGGGTAGTCAGAACTTACAGAAAAGGTTCCAGGTGTTGATACAGGTGCCAGAGGGCAGAGCATGGTGACAATTAAAACCAATTTTTTGTTGTTGTTGTTTCTGTTGTTTTTGTGATGCTGGAAATCAGACCCAGTACCTCATGCATCCTAAGCAAGTGTCCTGCACCTGGCTTCACTTTAGCTCTTGAGAGATCCACTTTGACTGCCAGGTTGTGTGACCCTAGTGAAGGGACACAGCCTCTCAGAGCAACGATTTTCAACCTGTGGGTTACAACTCTTCACAGGGGTCACCTAAGACCATCAGACAACACAGATATTACTGTTCATAATAGTAGCAAAATTACAGTTATGAAGTAGCAACAAAAGTAATTTTCTGTTGGGGTCACCGAAACATGAGGAACTGTATTAAAGGGTCACAGCATTAGGAAGGCTGAGAGCTGCTCTAGACACTTGTGTGGATTACTGCAGAAGTCAGTCAGGCCTCAGAAGACACAGTGCTGAGAGAACAGAAATTTAGTTCTCTTACCACCCTGAATTCTAACCCCTTCACAGTCTGACTAATTATAGATTTAAAAAATGTGTTTTTCTCCTGTGCAATGGTGGTGCACAGGTTTAATCTCAGCACAGGTAGAGCTCTGAGTTCAAGGTCAACCTGGACTACAGAGAGAGGTCTAGGAAAGCCAGGGCTACACAGAAGAACCCTATCCTAACAATAGAAATAAAACAAAATAACTAAAAAAAAAGTTACTCTTTTACTTATTTTGTCCAGGGTATTGCTGGGGCCATAGGATCACTTCCAGAACACAATTCTCTCATTCTAGGACGTGTGATCCAGGGATCAAACTTAGGTCATCAGGCTTGCCGGCAGGCATCTTTATGCTCTTACTAGCCCTATTGTGGTCTTTGAATGAGAATGGCCCCACAGGCTCATATATTTGAATGGTTCCAGAGAACCCTTAGATAGGATTAGGAGGATTAGGTGGTGTGGCCTTGCTGGAGGAGGAGTGTGATGGGGTGGGCTTTGAGGCCCAGCCCTCCTTTCTCTGTCTGTGCATCATGATGTAGCTCTCAGCTGTGTGCTGACATGCTCCCTACCAGGGCGGCAATGGACTGACCCTCTGACCCTGTAAGCCAGCCCCAATTAAATGCTTTATAAGAGCTGCCTTGGTCGTGTCTCTTCACAGCAATAGAACAGTGACTAAGACACCTGTTTGAAGTTTTGAAGCCACAGGCATCCCTGAGCAGTCACCAGCCTAGACATCTCGGGGATCTGCAGCTGAGCCCTGTTGCCTCATGGACAAGCTCCACTCTGACAAGGCCTCCCATGCTCCATGGAAGAGTCCACATTGTTTACTCCTTCTTCGAAGCAGGCTTCTTCTAGCCCAAGAAAAGATTATATTTTCCTGACTATTTCTACAGCCCCGTACTTGGCCGCCCTTCACCCCTTGTGTGTGTTATTACTGATTTTTTTAAAAATACTTTTTGCTTTTTTTTTTTTTTTTTTTTTTTGAGACAGGATTTCTGTGTGGTAGCCTTGGCTGTCCTGGACTGGCTTTGTAGACCAGGCTGGCCTAGAACTCACAGAGATCTTCTGCTTCCCTGAGTGCTGGGATTACAGGCATGTACCACCATGACCAGCTTATTACCGATATTTTTTAACATTTATTTATTTATTTATTTATTTATTTATTTATTTATTTATTTATTTATTTATTATGTATACAATGTGTGTTTGCATGTACACCTGCATGCCAGAAAAGGGCACCAGATTTCATTTTAGATGATTGTGAATCACCATGTGGATGCTGGGAATTGAACCAAGGCTTTCTGGAAGAGCAGTTGGTCCTCTTAACTGCTGAACCATCTCTCCAGCCCCTGCTATTGATTTTTGGTCATACATCATGTCCTAGTTAGGGTGACCATTGCTATAATGAAACACCATGACCAAAGGCAAGTTGGAAGGAAAGGGTTTCGTCGACTTACACTTCCACATTGCAGTGCATCATTGAAGAAATCAGGACAGGAACTCAAACAGGGCAGGAACCTGGAGGCGGGAGCTGATGCATAGGTCATGGAAGGGTGCTGCTAACTGGCTGTTTCTTGTGGTTTGCTCAGCCTGCTTCATTATGAAACTCAGGACCACCAGCCCAGGGATGGCACCACCCACAATGGGCTGATCACATCTATCAATCACTAATTAAGAAAATACCCTACAGCCTGATCTTATGGAGGCATAAGGTTGAGGTTCCCTCCTCAGACGACTACAGTTTGTGTCAAGCCGACATAAAACTAGCCTGCACACACCAACATATATGAAATTAATTAGGAGCTATCTTAGTTAGGATTATCATTTCTGTGATGAAACACCGTGATCAAAAATTAAGTTGAGGAGAAAAGGGTTTATTTGGCTTAGAGCTGCACATCATTGAATAAGCCAGGACAGAAACTCAAAACCTGGAGTCAGGAGCTGATGTACAGGCCATGGAGGGGTGCTTGCTGTGCATATAAACATGTTTTTGTTTTGGTCCCAGGTGTGGGCTGTGGGACTGATTCAGATGGTCCACAGCAGCAGACTATTTGCTTTGTGTGGGCTCTGAGAGGAGCTCTTTGCCAGCTACAGATAGTTTGAATATGAGGACTCTGAAGAAAAGAAATGCCAGAGTCCAGAGAGTAGAGCTCTGAGAAAGAACAAGGCTGCTCCTGCTTCCCCCTTGCTGCTCCAGGTTGCTATTGTGAGACAAGAAGTTGGAGATTTGAAACAATGTTGGCCTGGCTCCAAGGAACCCATGACCCTAATCAGCAGGAAGCAGCTAAGAGAGCTGTGCCCATCTTTCCCACAAACCCTTTCTCTCTCCTACCTGTTTTTGGGTGTTGGAAGGGACTGGGGTAGAGTAGGGAGGAAAGGATGTAAGAAATAAAATTAAAAAAAAAACAAAACAACTAACGTCAACAGATGCTGGTTACTGGCTTGCTCCTATTGGCTTGCTCAGCCAGCTTTCTTATGGACCCCAAGGCCAACAGCCCAGGGATTGCACCATCCACCCACAATTTGCTGGGCCCTCTCACATCAACCACTAATTTAAAAACTGTCCTATAGGCAAGCTGGGTGGTGATGGTGGCACATACCTTTAATCCCAGCTCATGGGAGGCAGAGGCAGGTGGATATCTATGAGTTTGAGGCAGGCTGGTCTATACAGCAAGTTCCAGGACAGACAGCCAGACAGCGCTACACAGAGAAACCCTGTCTTGGAAAACAAACAAATAATCCCCCCCCCCCCCCCCAAAAAAAAAAAAAAGTCCTGCAGGCTTACCGAAAGCCTGATCTTATGGAGGTTCCCTCCTCTCAGATGACTATTTTGTGTCAAGTAGTCATAAAACTAGACAACACAAGAACTTTAAAAAGTCATGTGTATGTGTGCATGTGTGTGTGTGAAAGAGAGAGAATGTGGAGACAGAGGACGACTTCTGATAGTTCTCTCCTCCTACCTTTATGTGGCTTCTGGGGATCAAAGTCAAGTCATCAGTCTTTCACAAGTGATTTATTCCGGAGCCATCAGCCTGGCCCAGGTTTTCCTTCTTTGAGACAGCCTATGTAGCTCACACTATCCTGAATTCTCAGTCTCCTTAACTTACCTCAACCTCCCCAGTGCCAGGATTACAGGTGTGCATCACCACCCCTGGAAATCAGCATGCCTGAAAGCATAGACAGTGCCTTCTTTGCCCCACCAGTGCTGGGCAGCTGGCAGGTGTTCACTACATATCAGCTGATAGCATGGAGAGTTGGATGGCTAAGCCAGCCTTCCCAGTCTTTAGGTACAGGAGTGTCAGACTGGTCCACGGGCTCCTTCCCTGCCTGCCCCTTACTCAGAGCACCTAGCAATAAACTTACCAAGAGCCTGCAAGCTCTCAGATAGGGTCCCGCTTGAAGTCTAATGACTAGCAACTAGTCTACCCTTGCACCTGCAACAGTCTTCCTACCTCAGCCCCATTGCATGCTGGGATTGGGAGTCCATACCACCAGACATGGCTAGGGCTGTCAGCCACAGAAGCACATAGGAGAGGTGCTTGGCTAGGATCTAGCCTGTCCGCAGTGCCAGTAAGACAGGCAGGGTGGGGTGAGGTCCTCTGGGCTGTGAGAAAATCCCCTCCCTGGATCGTGAGCCCCTATGATTGTCCCACACGTAATATGCCATTTCTGCTCTCCTGACTCAGACTCAGGGATTTCTGGTTATGTGGGGCCCAGGACTCAGTGTGTGTCAAATGAAGAAACCCTCAAAGGGTCATGAAGAAACCCAGTTATATTGAAACACAGTTAACAGACATTTACATTTTTTTGGTATGTAATATATATGTTTCTTTATTAACATGTTAAAAACAAGGAAATTCTAACAACTATGTTCATTTCAAAGTAGTGACGCATAAATGATAGTCTGAGATATAAAGCAGTCTGAAAACATCTGGGATTTCTGTTGGCTACACAGTCACACGTACTGTTAATGCTATTGTGGCCTCTTGTCTAAGGGAATGTTAAATTTGTCACAGGTGAGTGAAAATAAAGTTGTAATTTTTTTTTCCTATCTAGGTTCACAAATCCCCTGAAATCCTTGGACCCAGCCAAAAGCCTCTGGCTACAGGATAGAACAAAGCAGCCTGAGCCTTAACTCCCCATACAGGGGCCCTGGGAAATAAGTACTCAAGCTATTTTCCTGGAGGAAGCTTGAGCCTAGGAACGTTAGGGAATCTGCCCCAAATCACCCAGACTCAGCGGGAAGCTCCGTCCCTCTCTCCACATAGAGCTGGACCCCAGAGCCGAGCACTCCACAGCCTCTGACCTAGAATGCTCACCAAGAACCTGAGCCCTATGGGGTTCAGCTGGTGAAACAGAGAGACGTGGCCCCTGGAAACCACACACACTCAGTTATCTTTATCTCCAGTTTATTTTTTTAGACTAAGAGCAGAGTATGAAAGTCACAGCCAAAGCACTTGAAAAAGGCCCAGGATGGGTGGGGACCACATAGGGTGGGCAGGGCAAGGTCCTGGGAGTTGGTTCCGGCTCAGGGCTGGAAGGGAGGGCATTGTTGGTACCGTCTCCAAAAGTGTCTGTGCGTTGCATAGGTCCTGTCTTCACAGAAGACAAAAGAGGGGCCAGGGGGTCCCAAGGGGGGGGCCTAACCTGGTGGGGAAGGGGTCTGAATCTGGAAGGGGAGGTCAAGAAAGGTCAAGGTCAAGGAGGGGAAGGGACTGTCTGTACATTATATATAGAGATATAGAGTCTGTACATGCCTGTCTGGCACCCCAATGCCCGCCCCGTCCACTGCCTGCTCCCCCCAGGGGTGTCTATTTGTAAACTTGGATTCTATCCAAACCACAGTCCTCTATGTGGGACTGGAGGGAGGAGGACATGCTTATTGCTGTAAACAGGGAAGGGGGCAGCCTGAGGCTCCACTCCTCACCCATCTAGTCCCCTCCCCATGTTCTGCCCCAGAGGACAATTACAGGGGCACCTCCCATGCTTCAGCTGTTCTCTCTGGGGCTTATTTGCCTCTTGGGGGACAAGGAGGGAGGGCACCAAGGGTCAGGGAGTCCTGAGCACTGCCTTTTAGAGCCCTCAGGTTTGGTACCAAACATTGCCAAAGCCACAAGGCACCTGGAACCTGTGGCTGTCCCTGTGCCTGATCCTCTACAGTGCCTGTTCTCGAGAGAGAGTGGCCAAAGAGGTCAGGCACAGAGAGATGTACCGTGCAGACCCCGCTCCCAACCATTGGAAGAAAGATGTAGGCCCCACAACTGGCTCCCTGGCTCCTTTTCAGCCCTGCCCCACCTCTCTCTGTCATAAGAAGGGGCAGAGCTAGGAGGCCAGGAGTGTCATGAGGAAGAAGGCGATGCCCACGGCCAGAGGCAGGTGTTCCCGCTTGGGGCTGGTCCCGCTGATGCTCTTCTCAAGCTTGGGCACCTGGGGGTTCTCTCCCTCAAAGTCTTCTGTGGAAAGATAAATAGACGGGCTGGTAAGGGCTAAGCTGTGCGCTGGGGCGGGGGGCACGCGGCGGCGGCGGCGGCGGCGGCAGCAGCAGCAGCAGTGGAGCCAGGGATGTGACCACCCACGGGGGAGGGGCAGGAAGGACTGGTGTCCCAAGGGAAGGCATGCGGAAAAAAATAGCAGGCACCGGGAAGGGGGCTGCGGTTCCAGCAGTGGCCACCAGAGGGCGCTGCGCAGACTCACCCAGCACGTTGATCTTCACATTGGGGCCCATGGTGAACTGGGGGAGAGTGGGGACCGGCTTCTCCCCGGAGTGCGATGCTGCGGTGTGGGGTGCGGGTGGGGAGAGAGGAGGGGAAAGTCAGGGCCAGGACCCCCTCCCCGTGCTACAGCTGGGGAGCTAATCCCAGTCGCCTGTGCCCTCCGCCCCCATCCCCAGGAAGCCAAGGGAGCCCCAAAGCAGGGAGGCGAGGATGCGGACGTGGCTGGAAGCCGACCCTACTCACTGGAGGCGCAGCAGACGAACACCTTCATCCTCAGACACTTCCAGTGCAGGTTGTGAGTGGGCGTGGCTGGGGAGGAGACTGGGCCTGAGTTGCTTTCGCTCACTTGGTGCCCTTGCGGCCTTAAGCATAGACTCTCATCCCCCTCCAACTTGCTGTGTCCCCGCTGTGTCCCGGAGTCACTGCTCCGTCCAGACACTGATCACCATGGCTACGCAGGCAGCCCAACCCAGAACGGCCATAACAGAAATGCTCTGCCGCCCACACTTGGGGCTGCCACCCAAACTCCCCAGCCTCACGACGCCTCGAGCGGAAACTGGCGAGCTCCCTATCGGCTGGCCGGGACCCCCCCCCGGCACTCCCAGGACCCGGCACTCACAGATGTAGTAGTAGTCGTGGCCGGCGTGGAATTCATAGCCCAGCGAGAAGGCGCTGTAGCGCTGGAACTTCTCGGAGAACTTGATGGGGCTGTGCGAGGCGTGCTGCCGGTTGCACTCCCAGCGCTTGGAGCCCTGGCTGGCGTTGCAGCTGCGGTAGCCGCTCAGGTTCACCATGTACAGCACGTACTGTTCCGCCCCACCGCCGGGCCCCGAGCTGTTGTAGTGCGGACAGTAAATATCCAGATAGTCGTTCACGTTCACCTGCACCGTGTAGCCCTCTCGCCGCAGGCTGCGCACAAACGAAGCGGGTCAGAGAAACCCCAATGCTCCAAGGCTTTCCATGCCAACACTTCTCAGGCCTTCATTAGGATACTTGCATATAATGTATTTGATGATTAAAAATTCACTTTCCCAGACTCTTGGCCTTTGTTTTATCAGCCCCTTTCTGTCCCCGGGGTCTAATGTGCCAGTCCCGTCTTTTTGGCCTGTCCTTCTCCTGACGGCCACCAGAGGGTAGCAAAGGTACAAGGAAACCCGTCCTACCTCCTAAGGAAGAGAGAGGGAGATGGGTGGAGGAAAGAAGGAACATAGCTCTGGTTGCCACAGAAACAGCGCAGGCCCCAACGACTCCCAGACCCAGGCCTGGATTTCCTCACTCCATTCCCCATAATTCACCAAGCCTAAAGAAGGACCGTAAGAACGGAAACATAGGGTGAAAGCAGAGAGACTCCTTGCTTGGAAGCCAAGCTCTCCCAGAACACCTTCTTGCTGCTACAGGTCCACCTTCCAGGCCAGTCCGACAGGACTTGCCCTCATACACGCATGTATGGCAGCGTCAAGCACATACATGCATAAGTTCTATGGCACAGACACAAAAATGTCCACCGCCCACTCAGAGGCAGCAAACACTCAGAAGAACTAATTTGTGTGTGCTGAGCCTATGCCAGTGTTAGCTGGCCCCAACAATCTCAGGGGTTCCTCCTATATTTCCTATAAGACAGAACCTCTCTCTTTGTGCTTCACGTCCCATTTGCCACCATCCAGAGGCCATGGACAATTGAACTCCCAACAACCTGACATAGATCAGGGAGCTGAAGAGGTTAGCATCAAGGCCCCACCTGCCATCATGGGAAGATATCTGTCTCATTACATACCTTCTTTCTTCACTCAGATGCCACTGCACCCCCCCACCCCCCCCCCCACCCACCCACACACACACACACACACCATGATCATGCTAGGCGAGTAATGAGACCACAATGCCTAGCCAAGATGACTTTCTGAATGGGTCTCTGGGAGGAAGCCGATTCTCGTCCCCAGGAGCCTCCACGTGCTCATCTAATGGCACCCTTCTTGGTGGCACAGAATGATGCGCAAGGACAGAGACTGCTCAGTGCAGACCTGTGGAGTGGGGTAGAAGCCTCCTTGAGCTTCCTCAGGGCAAGTGTGCACACATGTCGGCAGTGATATGGAGGCAACTTGGGCACAGGGAAGCATGGGCTACGTGGTAAAATGTCAAGCCATTGGGGTCCCCAGGCCCTGGGAACTGCCTGAGAGAAGGAACTGACTTTCCATGTCACCAGGCACTACCCAGTTGCACAAACAGTAATTAGACACATTAGGGAAATGAGCTTGGTGGCCCCTTCCTTGGAGGAGACCTTGAGGGTCGTCCTCCCTGACATTACCCAACTCCACTGGCTTTCCTTGTGTTGCCCCGTCCCCGTCCCTGGGGGGACCTGGTGTTTGGACTCTCTATTGAGAACGGGCACAGCCTTCTTGAATCATCAGGAATGCGACCAGTCCCACTTGGTTCCCATGGGAGTGATGGGTCACTTGGGCCCCTCCCTGTCCCTGGCACTCAGGAGTCTCTACAGGGCGCTGGAGCAGGGAAACGGGTTAGACAAGGCTTCGCTGCTCCCAGCCACCACCCATACAGTGTATGTCCATCCCAGCCCCATGTCTCCTGTTCCTTCCCTAAGGTCCTGGGAGAGGGCCACCAGTCAGCCAGCACAAGGTGCCAGGCCTGCAGCAGCCCATGGTTACCCTGGGGCCTTGTTCCTTCAGCCTCACCCATCTATCCAGTCTGATTTGAAGCAGCCCCTCCCTGCCGAGGCCCCATTCCTCCAGCCGCACACCCCATCACAGCATGGAGCAAGCCAACTCCAGGGATATTTCTACAGGTGGTACCTCAGTCTCCTCAAGAGGGTGGGGTGGGTATATAAAGTGGTTGCCGGGAGACAACAGGAAGAGAAGCCACCTCTTCCCTATCCCTGTGACTGGTGACAGAAAAGCCTCAGCAATACCCCGCAACCTGGTCATGTGGGCCAACACCTGCTAACAAGTTAGCTGTGTCCAGTTGGTATCTGGTGGATAGAGAGGCTGGCTGCCAGGAAGTCCTGAGAGAGCAGACTTGTCTGCTAGGCACAACCTCTTCAATTGAATCTGTCATCCTACTTAGCCTAGCAGTGAAGGGGGTGCATCTAGGCCCCAGCTGCTAACCACACCTCCGCCGGGGGGGGGGGAGGCCGTGGGGAGGTGGGCCGGCATCTGGGTACTGGGTTCCCTTCTCCATTCTTCTATCCATTTCATCCCCATTGCCTCGCGCTTCTCTCGAAGAAAGGCGGTATCACCGCTCTTCTACAAGGCTCTCCCGCTAACCCGGTTATCCCGACTCTTCTCACATCTACAGCGCCCTGACTCCCTGAAACTCAGCCTTCAGCCTCCAGTCCGCGGGGGACAGGACGAGAGGTGGGGGAGCAGGGAAGGAGCAAACGTCTCCCGCTGGGGCAATTAGGGGCAGGTAAACAGGGTGTCTAACAAGACCTGGGAGAAGGGAAAGGCTCCCAAGAGACTGAACTTGTTAAACCTCTACCCTCGGCTTTAGAGGCCAAGATGTAGAGTTAAGGGAGTGGAGGGAAAAAAGGCAGAGGCTGGGTTCTTCCCCTCTGGTGCGCGCCCCCGAGGCTGCGCGCGGCCGGCTCCAGCAGGCGAGGCCCGACCACGTGTGCGCGGCGTGGAGTCCGCGCGCCGAGGCTGGGGGTGGAGTGTGCGGCGTCGGCGTCGGGAACGCTCCCAGGGCGGCGCGTGCACCCGCCACCCCCGCGCCCCGCCAGCTCAGGTCTGGTGAAGAAGCAGCGCGCCGGTCACCCCCGCCCCTCGACCCTGCGACAGCAGCGGCGGCGAAGGTTTATTGATCTGCAGCGGCGGAGAAGAGCGAGGACCCGCCGAAAGCGAGACACACAGAGATGGAAAGACTCTGCCACACGCAGAGGGGAGACGAACACAGGCGGTTTCGCCTGAAAGGGGAAAGAGAGGGAGCCACAGTGAGAGAGGGGAAGCCAGAAGCCGGGAGAGGGAGGAAAGGAATGAGAGCCGAGCAAGACTTAGAAAACCGGCAAAGACTCAGCATCCGATCCAGAGAGGTCCGCAGCAGAGGAGGGGACAGCGAGGAAAAGAAGAGAAACTCAGACACACTGGCGACCAGACGAAAACAGGCCACCACGGACGTAGTAGAGGTCTCCATAAATATTTGTTGAATGAATGTGTGAATGAAAGTGGTCAGCAGCAGCTACGTTTCCATAGGTAGGGAGACCACGAGAAAAAGGTGCTCTCAAGGCGAGTCCCAACACCTTCGTTTAGTGCAAAGAGAGGAGGCGCTGGTACGGGGACATACACGGTTTAGCCCTCATCTGCCCCATTCCGTCCCCGACTCCACACGCTCATCGCTCCCTCCAGTAAGGTTGCTCCCACCTTGTCCTAGTTTCGGGACCAGGTTAGGAAAAAGGTCTTGCCTATGCCCAGGGACTAACTCAAGGGGCTGAGTGGGGGAAGGGGGCGATGGGTAGGTAGCCAGGACGGGGCCCCCGTCCCAGGTCGGTCAAAGAAGGCTACTGAGGGTCTGTCAAAAGACCTGCACGTGTCCCACCAGCACCCTCCCACGTGACCCTAAGAGGCGGGGTCGCAGACCCTCCCCACGTGACCCCAAGGGGCAGAGACCCTCCGCACGTGACGGGAGCCGGGAGCCAGGAGCCTAGATCACGTGACTGAGGGAGGGAGGCCTAGGAGCCTGTGGCTCGGCCCGGCCCCGCCCCCAGCTCCCCGGCCCTCTCCACTCCCGGCTCTGGAGCACGTCGCTCTCACGATTTATGGGGCCGCGGATGCCGCAGTGAGAGAGCCGGGGAGCCCGGGCGCAGCGGCAACAAAGGCCGGGAGCGGGGTGGGGGCGGCAGCGGCCTCCTGGCCGGGTGTGCGCCGCCTCCTACCTCCGTCGGTCCCTGCCCACACCGGAGTGGAAAGGGCGAAAGGAGGCTCTGGGAACCAGGCTCTCCCCATCCCGTTCCGGAGCTTCACCTGCGCCCAGGTGTATGCGGGGGAGGGGAACCTGATCAACGTTCCCCTCAAGGCTATTCCCACACCCCCTATGCTCTGGCACGCTACAACCAGGGAGGTTCTCCACGGTGGCGGGGAGCCCAGGGTCGCTCACCGGCGAGCCCTCCGCTCTCGCCAGACTGTAGCGGGGCGGGGGTCGGACGTGTAAATCTTAGGGGGGGGATGAGCTGGATACAGCAGGATAGTCAGCCCTCAGGGGCCCCCGGGGAGCTTGGAGTCCCGCTCCGGGGGGGAGGGGCTGCAACCCCACCCCCGAGGTTTCCATGGGAAGCGCAAGGGGGGGGCGTCATTAGCTCATCCCCACCCCCAGTCTGACACTCTGGGAGCGAGGAGAAAGAGGGGGAGGCGCAGAGCCCCAAACAACAAAGAGCAGAACGGCGAGCAGGAGCCCCTCCCCCGGAAGGCTGGGGGTCGTGGTCGAGGCCCTTCAGGTCCCCTCCCCTGGGGTCTCACCATTTGTTCCCTAGTCGGCCCCCAGGGCGGAGAGTCAGAGGCAAAGCTGCCGCCACCGCCCGGGCAGGTGTGACAGTGATCCCCGCGTCCCCAGGGATCCCCTACCAACACACCGAGGTGGCCAGAGTGACACACGACAGGTCGGCAGGGAGAAGACAAGGGCAGCAAGGACTGCGCAGAACGAGGGCCCGGGCCGCAGCCGGCCGCTGGCCGCCGCCGCACGCCGGAGGATACCGCCCGGCCGCCCTGACACCCGCCCAGACCGCGGCGGCGCCAAGAGCCACCCCAGCCCAGACAAGACCGGCCACGCGGACACCGACCGCAGCCCCTCCCGACCCGCCGCCCGCTCCCACCCCTAGACGGCCGCCGACCCAGACACACAAATCACCCCCGGACACACGCACACTGACAGGCGCGCACGCCCGTTCACACTCGGTACCATACGTCGTCCCTAGCTTGTGTGTGTGTGTGTGTGTGTGTGTGTGTGTGTGTGTGTGTGTGTGACACAAGCCGACATCTCTGCCTTCTTCCTTCTCACCAGTACCCTGCGTTCCCAGGGCCCCCAACTCCACGACCCTGTCCGGCTCACCTCAGCAAGGTTTACCCACACACCCAGAGCAACCCATTCCCCTTTATTCTGGGGAGGAGGTGAATCGGACTTCCCGCCTTAGTGCAGAACCCCATTTTAAAAAGCGAGAGTCTTAGGCAAAGCCCACCAACATTTATAGGCTGAAAACAGGTCATCCCTAGGCTCCCAAATGCAGCGGCCTATCAGCAGCACACCGGTACCCCCGGAGTTCAACCTACCCAAAAAGAGTGTGGATGGTGGGGGGCTACGGGACAGGGAACACTAGTCCAGGGGCCAGTGTGGAAAGAAACCAATATGGGGTTAGGGACCCCCAACAGCCTCCTCCTCCGTACAGCCAGCGCGCTCCTTACTATGCCCCAACAGCTTCTCTCAGACACCTCCGAGTTTCACAGACGCCCACGTAGTGCTCCCCTTTCCCTCGCCTCTCGCCACCAAGCCCGTCTCCCAGGACCGCCTCCAGGTTCCCCTAGGACTTCTCGGGCCCACCAGCTCCCCCATCACTGACGCGGGACGCGAGGGCTCTCCGGGTCCCCGACTCACTGCTGGTTGGAGCTGTTCCAGTATACCGCATGCCGGTTTCCCAGTGCGCCCCCAGGCCCCTGGGCCAGCAGCGGCAGCAGCGGCACGGGCACGAGCAGCAGCAGCAGCAGCAGCGGAGCCGCCGCCATCCCCGGAGCCGCCGCCGCCGCCGCCCCCCGACTGAGCCCCGCGCTCCCGGCTTCTCAGCTTCTCAGCTCCCTGCTGCCGCCGCTGCCAGCCCCCAACCTTAGTCACGCCCACAATCCTTCCCTCCGCCCTTCTGGGCGCGCTCCCGAAGTCCCGCCCCTGGCTCGCTCACGCGGGGCTCCGCCCCACTTGGGCACAGAGCGCGCGGCGCGTGGGCGGTGGGTACTGTGTAGCCCCTCTAGGAACGACGCGGTACTCTTCTCTCCTAGGTGATTTGCTGCAGCGGCTTGCGCCTTTAGCTCCCCCAAGGCTGGAGTTCCCAGGAGGATTTGGGAACCACGACCAAGACACACAGCTTGTGTAGGTCCACACCTTTCTTCGTGGAGTGTGGGAATGTTGAGGGGCGAAGGTCTACCTCTGAATAAGCAGGACTAGACCCATACCTGAACGAAGTTAAACCTCTGCTTCCTCCACGCCCTTTCCATATACACAGGAGTTAAATGGACACAGGATTGGGAAACCTTCAGGTGACACCCAGGAGCTAACAGCTGTCGGCCTGAAGGCCCTCAACTGAGCGGCTTGTTTTTCTTAGAGCGCAAAGAGTGTCACCTTCTGAGGGCTGAGCACCATGTGCTCTCCTTTAGTTTTGGCACTCTGGGGACAGAGACAGGGAGAGCTCTGTGAGTTCGAGACTAGCAACATAGGTCTGAGTTCCAGGCCAGCAAGGACTACCTAGTGAGACCAAAAAAAATTACTTCTGGTAATCCAAAAGTGTTTATTGTTGATGGTGATGTGCTAAGGCAGGAGTCAGTTGGAGCCCAGCAGGAATGGAGTGGTCATCTTGGCAGGCCCTCAAAGGGCCCCTCATTGCCTCCAATTCCCTCAGGCATGCTCCTCCTACTCCCACAGATGCCTTCTCTAAGGACAGAGGGCACCTTGTGTTCTAGCACTCACCATTGTCTTCCAAGCACAAAGACGACATACACAAGGTGTGGGGGGGGGGGGGAAGGTATGCACACCCAAAAGCAGGGAACATGGACACTTGATACACCTTTCCATACAGGCACAAAAGGTGCTACCATAACTAGAGAAGGGATTGGTAGAAACATAGGCCCATACACACCATACACACACACACACACACACACACACACACACACACGCTCACACAAGACACACATAGAACACACATGCACTCACACTTCTCCCAAACTGGGCTACACTCTTTCACAAAGGGTCCCGAATCAGACCTAGTAGACATTCATCCCTTATCTCTTCTCTTTCCTAGAAGCCCAGACTCCTGAGGCGAAGCTCTCAGGAGTCATAGCACCTGTACCCCAGGGGGCAGGCAGGATGCTATTTTTGTTTTTCTGTTTTGTTTTTGTTTTTTGTTTTTGTTGACAGTTTCTCTATGTAACCTAGGTTGTTCTGGACTCACTTTGTAGACCAGGCTGGCCTCGAACAAAATAGCATGATGCTGTTTTGTTGTGCTTCAAGAGGCAGGAAAGACAGATAGCAGCACCCTCCACCTGTTTGCAAGGCCCTGACCACAGGCCTGCCTTGGGTAGGGGAGAGAGGAGCACTGCATTCACAGTATACTCCATGCCTCCCTGCTGCTAGGTAAAAGTGGGTGCACCTCTCGGGGCTCCTCTCCAGTCCTAGGAGATATCTTCTCTCTTCTTGGGAACCAGAAAATAAATGAGGCCCCTTGGGATGGGAGTGAGGGACTTTGCAAACAGCTCTCACCATTCCCAGAGAGATCTGGTTCACCCAAATAATGCTAACCTGCCTACTCTGGGGACCACAAGCTCCAGCCCCAGCCCCTCTGTGCCATGCCATGCCTTTGCTCCACAGAAGCAAGCTTCTCTGTAGGGCAGAGTAGCCAGAGAGACTGCCCCTATGAATAGTGAGTACAGGCTGGCTGGATTGGTCCAGAACTTTGAATTCCATTTATTTTAAACTTTAGATTCCTGTTTCTAGAATCTGAGTTCCAAATTGGGAATTACTTAATTGGTAGAGCATTTATATGAGACCCTGGGTTCAACCCCCATTACTGTAAAAATAAACAACAAAACTGGCTTTTATTTATTTTATTTTATTTTATATTTGTGTAATTTGGGCCCAGATATTTCTGTTTAGATTGTAGCACCTCCTTCTCCCTGTAATAATTCTAGAGATTCATAGTGAGAGAAGTGTCTCAGAGGTTAAAAATACTTGCTACTCTTCTAGAAGACCCAGGTTTGATTCCTAGTACCTACATCAGATGGTTTACAACTGCCTGTAACTCCACCTTCAGTGGACCTGATATCCTCTCCTGGACTCAGAAGGCACCTGCACTCATATGCGCATATACCCACATACACAGAGAGAGACAGACAGAGACACACACAGAGAATTAAAAATAAATAGTAAAAAAAGGAGCTTTTTCCCTTGAACCTCTCTGTTTAAGCCTGGGTTTAAGGCCATCTTTCTTTTCTCTGGCCCCACTCTGACTTTCAACACTTTGTGGTTCCCGTGTCAGTGGCATCTGGTCCTCTGGTATCCAGGCTTCTGTCCACGGGGCTGCTGCCTGGCTGATATGGGCCTTTGTGTGGGAAACAGAAAGCACCCTTTAGGCACATTCTGTCTCTAGAGTGCACTCTTGGCAAGTGGTGCTTTGTATAAAAACAAAGCTGCAGCTTCCTAGGGTGGGAAATAGGCTTCTGTGTCTCCCCATCCTAGTAAGGGAGTGTGAGATAATATCAGACTCTTCTTGCCCTTTGTTGTTACTTTATTGTACCAAGTACAAACTCCCAGCTGTCTGTGGCAGCTCTGTCTACAGAATACACAGAATATGCACCTCCAGCTACAGTGCCTCAAAAGACTCAAAGGGACTAGGATCTATGTATTTGTTTATCAACTAATTTTTTTTATTTATTGAAGACAGGGTCTCTCTACGTATCCTTGGATGTCCTAGAACTCACTATATAGACAAGGCTGCCCTCAAACACCTGCCTCTGGCTCCAGTGCTGGGATTAAAGGTGTGTCACCATGCTTGGCTGGGACTGGCATTCTGGAAGGATTAGGTCTCTGTGGATGAGCTCTGAGCTGCTGTCCATGCCTGGGACCTGCTCTGGGGCATCTGGGTTAGGGGAGAAGTCCTCCATCCACGTTGAGTAGGCCTTTGTATATATATCTGTGACTCCAATCACTCTTGACTGGCCTGCAGTGGGGCCAGGTTATCTCTCTGGCTCTGCCAGCCAGCATTCACGTGCACACGTTATCTACAATACTGCTATGTAGACAGGGGACAGAGCAGGAGGTTTCAAAAAGTGATTATTTCTCCTTGATACAGAAGATATGTCCTCACAGTTGTCCCCTTTAAAAGTGTGCTTGGGGACTGAAGAAGAGGGCTCAGTAGGTAAGAACTGAGCAAATGACCTGGATTCGATTCCCAGCACCTATATGGCAGCTTCCAACTACCTGTAATTCCAGTTCCATGGGATCCTACCCCCTCTGACCTCTTCAGGCACCAGGCATGCACATGGTGCATAGACATACATGCAGACAAAACACTCATACACATAAAAAAATTATAAGATGTTTTTGTTTTGTTTGTTTGATTGAGACAGAGTTTCACTATGTAGTCCTGATTGTCCTAGAATTCCCCATGTACACCAGGCTGCCCTTGAACTTACTGCCTCTGCCTTCCAAATGCTGGAATTAAAGGCATGTGTCAACACCACCTGGCCTAAATTTTTAAAAATGTCAGATATAGTGTGCCTATAAGGGGGAGGCTGAGGCAAGGAGAATCACAAGGTCAAGATCATCTTCGGCTACAAAATCAGTTTGAGGCCAGCCTAGGCTAAGTGAGGCTCTGCCTCAAAGTAATAACAATGATGATAAGCTGCCTTGACTTATAAAATCGGTTCCTTGTTTCAACTCCCACAGTAGGTCACACACTTCAGTGTGAAATTCAGAAACACTTCACTCTAACCTGGCTTCACTCTAACCTGCTGTCTGGCAAACTGGAGTTTCGTCTCTCTGGGTCCCAGGCCCATTGGCCCCAGGGCTGGCTACCATGATCTCTTTAGGAACATTGACCTCAGACTTTGAAAATTCAGACACAGTGCCATGTTCTCCCAGCTCGTAGGGTCCAAGGAATCAGGAAGTTGAACAGGTCTGAGGCACAGGGAGCATCTAGGCTGTGTAGCCCAAGGCAGCTCCCAGGACATAGGGTAGCAACTACAGAGCTGAGCTTAGTTCAATAAATCATAGAGGCTAGGGCCTGGGGGAAGGGATGGCTGCAAGGGGAGGGGGCTGGATAAATAATTCATTAAACAAATAAACAAGGAGCCTGAGAGAGGGAGGCTTAGGCATGATGTGAACAGGAACGGCAGCCACCAGCTCCTGACATGAAATATTCACAGCTTCTGCACCTTTCACAGGGTCATGAGTGTTCTGCTGTGTAAGTACCATAGACACCTGGGTACCATGAGTGGGTCCAGATGTGTGCATTTCTCTGATTTCTCAGTGTGTGTCCACATGGCCCTGTTGTATGCTGGACTACCTGAGGTGACCTGGAGCCAAACATATAACTGACACATTGGATAAGATAATATGACTTATGTCAGGGAACATAGCTCTCCCCCCACCCCCTGATTTTGTCTAGGACACAGAAAATTAAGATTCATAGCTTTGGTGATGGGGTCAAAGAGTACCCATGCCTTGATCCCTCTACTGGGTCTAGAAAGCCGGGGCCACTGTAGCAGGTAACATCTCTGGGGTGTTACATTAGAGGTGTATGCACTTTTGGTGGTCCTTGAAGAAACGCCGGGAAGGAGGCGGCATGTACAGTGTCTGCATCAACTCAGTGGCTTGCCTGTCGCTTAGCTTCTCCTGGACTGCTCTTCTCATCTCTCCAGTGGGGCTAGAAATACCCTCCCTACTTGAGAAGTTGCTTGTTCCAAAGATCAAGATCCACATCTCTGTGAAGCACTTAGTACGGCGCTTAGGGCTCCAGAGATGCTTGAGTAATGGAGGCTTCATCAGAAATGTTATTAAGGAGTTGCCTCCTTGCTCTGCCCACCTAGACCTGCCCAGAAAGAATGCCTTTACTCCTGCTGCCTCTGATTTTAAAGCTTGCCTGACAACCATCACAGAGAGAAAGATGGCCTAGGGCTTGGAGGGTAGGAAAAGATTTAATAGACTGAAGGACAGGGGATTCACATTTAAAAAAGAAAAAGGAGTCTTAGCCCAGTATGGTGGTGCACACCTTTAACCCCAGCATTCAGGAGGCAGAGGCAGGTAGGTCTCTGTGGTTCAAAGGCAGTCAGGACCACATCGTGTCTAATAAGAAATTTCTTTTCTTCAGACTGGGAGGGAAGGGCCTCTTTACCTTCTTAGACCCTATGGCCACTTCTTAATCTCAAACTCCTAGATCTGATTCTCACCAAAGTTTTGATTTCTAGAAAGTGGCTGCGAGGAGACAGATAGACCTGGTGGAAAGGTCTTTGAGCAAGGTGTCACTATGCTGACCCCATCTTCACTGTCGGGGCTCTGGCCCCACCCTCTGCCCAACAATTAAGGGCATCCCTGGCAATGAAGTTTATGCCTGGGCAAAGACCAGAGTGGGTGGGGAGAATCCGGGCTGTAGAGAGCCTCATAGAGTCAGGGTGGAGCACCTGGCAATTTCTCAGCAAGCCATAGCATTCTCCAGCCCTCTCCTGTCCCCTGGAAAGGATCAGCTCCCCAGGGAGAAAGCCAGCAGACAGGTCTGAGCTGGCCTGTTCTTTTACACAGAAGAACTGATGGGGTGGGGGTGGGGGGGGATTTGGGCTCTTGGTGGATATAACACCTGTGTCACTTGGGAAGTCAGAAGCACAGTGGTCTACCATGCCTAGGAGTGCCCTACAGCCTGGGGACCAGCCCTTGTCTCCCTTGGCCAGACTGCTGCTGCTTTAGGAGCTAAGTTTCTGGCCCTCTGATGTGAAGACAATGTCTGACCACCTTTTCCCATGGAGCCAACATGCGTTCTCCTTTCTTTCCCCTGGGCTGGGCAGGTTCAGGCCAATCTGCACAAGAGCTTCACAGCAAACATTGATCTGTAATAAAACCACAATATGTGTTCAGAAGAACAGATTGAGATAGAGAGATCCAGCTTTCTCTTTCTCACTCACTTACACACACACACACACATGCACACATGTGCTCCCATACTTTCATGGAGAGAAATCATACTGTTAAGGCATATACCAACAATCCATAAAGTGTATCTCAATATGGACCTTTACTATGTCAAAACACACAAATGTCATTAATTTTATACATCTCCCTGCCATAAATTTTGTTCTTCTCAACCAAGGCCCTTTCTTAGAGCCCATTCTCCTCTAGCCTTTTTTTAGTTCCCAGTCATCTGTATGTAGGTCCATACAAATGCTTGCACTTTGAATTATACTTATTTAATGGCTGGTCTGTCTCTGAAGATTTCCTTTCTTCCTTCCTTCCTTCCTTCCTTCCTTCCTTCCTTCCTTCCTTCTTTCTTTCTTTCTTTCTTTCTTTCTTTCTTTCTTTCTTTCTTTCTTTTTGTTTTGACTCATTTTTTTTAAGACAAGGTTTCTCTGTGTAGCGCTGGCTGCCCTGGACTCACTTTGTAGAGCAGGTTGGCCTCAAACTCAGAGATCTGCCTGCCTCTGCCTCCAGAGTGCTGGGATTAAAGGTGTGGGTCACCACACCGGGCTTAGCAGAGGTGTTTAATAAATAAATAATTGTGAATTCATGAGGGGGAAATGCATTTGGACAGTGCCACCGTTCCTAGAATCCCTTGAGTGTCACAAGGATAGCACAAAACCTGTCCATGGCACTTATGCAGCTTACCCTCCTCTGCTGTGCCCAGGTGCCCTGACCTCACTGCCTGGGTTTCCTCAGAGCCTTGCTTTCTTCCTTCCTTCCTTCCTTTTTTTTTTTTTTTTTTTTTTTAAATCAGTGTGAGACCATGAATTTCAGTTCCACATATATGATAGCTAGCAGGCATGTAAGGGTTAAATGACACCTCATTAGTCTTTAATTGGAGGGAAGGAAGCTGCCCTGGCACCAGACAGGTGGGCAAGCCTGCTCCTTGCTAGAACCCAGCATCCCACCAGGCATGTGGGTGATTTGGCCCTGGAGACCTTCAACCCAGCTGGGGCACCCCCCCCCTCCCGGCTTTGCCAGTTTAGTTTCCAGGCAGTACAGACCAGCACTCCCCATCTGTCACCAACATCTAGAGGCAAGGCAGGCTCCTTATTTTTTCTCCTTTAGCTAGTCTCTGCCACTTCCCACCCCCCAGGAGACTATGGAGAGTGGGAGGAGGGGTGCAGAGCTTGGAATTGGACAGCGAAGGAATACAAAGCTACCAAGGGATAGATTGCACATACAGACAAGTGACAGAGATAGGGAGGTAGAGATGTCTGCCCAATTTGACCTTAAATGAACAGAATGCAAATGAGATGCAGACGATATGCAGATGAACACAAGGATCTCAGACTTGACATTCCCCTGACAGTAGCTCTGCACACCAGGCACCAGGCTGATGCAAACAATCTCCACCTAAACTTTGTGGGTTAAGTGACACTGACCTTTGCTTCGAGTGAGAACTTTGAGTACTACAAGAGTTTGGTTGGGTGAAGGCTACTGAACTTGGGACGCTGTGCTCTCTAGCTTCCTCATCCTATTCCCCCAGGCCTTCTTAAAGCAGCTACAGTAGGCGGGTCCCAGCAGCTGGGGCAGTGACCACTCTCAAGGTTATGCTTGGACGCACCGTCGGTTGCTATGGGGACCTTCGTTCCCAGGCCTGAACCAATGCAGACTGCCACTGATGACCTCATGCCCCAGGTTCGGGTATTCTATTGGCTGTTCGGAAGCCCGAGTGCACACCTTCAACTGCGTCACTGCTAGGGATCCCCCGACGACCCCAGCTAAGGTGGCTAACTAAAAAAAGTGTCAGCTCAGCCCACAGAGAGCTGGATGAAGGAATGGAAAAGGGAATATGGCAAAGCAAGAAGAAAAGAGAGGGAGGAAGGGAGTGAGTGAGAGAGAATCATGGAGACAACGGGTAAGTGTGGAGCAGAATCCAGGCAAAAGACTCTCGAGCCAGGGAAACAGAAAAAGGTTAAGTTTTAGCATCTGTACTGCAAAGACTAGGGTTGGCCTAGTGAACTGAGGGCCCTACCCTCAGCTGTCTAGCACGGCTGAATTTAGGGGAGATGGGTTACACCCCAAAACTTGAAGGCCTGTCTAACCTCTTGGAACTGTGCCCCTGAAAATGCTGCGAAGGCTTCTCGTGGGTAGGGCCAGGTATGGGAGGGCCGCCCAGAGCCTACAGCCTGTATTGTTCCTAACAGCAGACTTCATCAGAGCTTTCTTCCTGGGTCCGCAGCTGCCATAGCGCAGGAGCCACACTCTGAGGAAGGAAACAGAAAAGACGGGGTGGCCTAAAGACCTACAGCCTGAGAGCGCTAGTTTGCACCCCCTAAGTCTAGCTCTGTGCCCACCCCAGTATCTGCCCTGGCACCTGCAAACGCCTGGGCTGTTTGCAAATGCCCGAAGTCTGTGTGGAGCGCAGTCTGAAACCGAGGCCACATGTCTGAACTCGAGAAAAGCCAGCTAGGTCTCCAGTCCCTTTTGCACAGGGGACTGGCGCTGCCAGCCAGAGCTCCTGCTGGGTCCACGAAGAGGTGTGTGGGGCCGCCGGGAGTTGGGTGAGACCTCATATTTCTGAATCCAGGGTACAAGCTGCTAAACAGTTGCCCCGGAATTGCCCTGCTTATGATTTCTCTGATAAGGGACGATAGTAACTGTATCTCTGGTTTCCATGGCAACAAAGAGACGCCCTCCAGGAAGATGGCAGCGATGGAACTCCAACGCTGTACGCTGTATGGAAAGACTCAGCTCCTCCCACAGTTCTTAGCTGGCTTTCACTTCTGCACATAAACATCTTTAATCGCTAAAGATCAAAGTTTAGGGTCAGGACCCCAACACATCACCAGTATCGCACCATTTTCTGAAAGTGGCCTTGAATAAAGATTATTAAGTAAGAACCTACTCTTCTACTGTCCTTAACCCTGGGCCTTAGCTAGAGCCACAGAATTACCAAGAACTGTGAGGGCCAAAGTCGTGTGATAGACAGGTCCATTCCTTTGGAGAAAGGTCTGACTAGGTGTGCAAGATAGGGAAGGCTTCGCAATCCCCAGCATCCTGCTGCCTGCCCCCCAACCCCCCACCCGATAATGTTCACACGCTGCTGCCTCTCTTCGCTGTCACAGCAGGGTCGGGCTAATCAACACAACGTCCACTTATTGATCGCTGGCTCCAGGCCAGGCAGGCCGGCACCTAGCCAGAGGAGCCTACAGGGGCAACAGGGAGGGCAGAGCACAGCCACGGGGGGAGGGGTGTTCCCTCCCCTACCTCCACCCAGGGCAAAGTTAAGAACGAGAGAGCTGGTGGGGTTAGGGGAATGTCAATCTTATTTGAGAGAGGAAAGGACAGTATTGGACTAAGAGTGAAGGAACCCTCCCTCCTGAACCCCACCCCCTTCTCCTTATAAAAGCTCAGAACAAAGAGGCCGCTGGGGAAGAAGGCTTTGATCTGACCCCACCTTCCCAGTTCTAGGCCAGGCACCGCCCAGAGTGCCCTTGGGAACGGGGAGGAACTCAAAGCTCGATGCTTTTCTGTTTCCCCTGGGTTTTACCCCAGAACCTGGGGTAGGCACTGCCAAAGTGGATTGTGGACAGCATCTGCCACCCAGCACAGGAAGATGGCTGGGGAGTGGGAGAAGGTGCCAAGCCCCACAGCTGCTGCTGGCACTTATCCCAACCTGCCCAGAAGGATGCCCACTGATGGCTGGCAGTGGATGGCCTGGGCACAGCTGGCATGGAGGTCAGGCCAAACCAAGCTGAGAGCCCAGTGAGTTTAGGTGTCAGGGAAGAAGCCACAAAGGAGGGTAACACAAAGATGGGTGGTTTTTAATGTAGGTTTATTATTTTTGTGTGTGTGTTGGCACTTGTGTGGCATAGTCATCGACATGCCACATGGCATGTTCAAAGAACAACTTTCAAGAGTGTGCTCTCTCTTTCCACCACGTAGGTTCTAGGGACCAAGGCTTCATGACAAGTACTTTCACCTGCTGAGCCTTTTCACTGGCCTCCTTGTTTTATTTATTTATTTTTCAGACAGGTTGCCCATACACATGCTGACTTCCTGCTCACTGCCCCCAACCCCAACCCACCCCCCAGTGCTGGGATTACAGGTGTGAGCCACCACTCCCCACTAGAATGGGTGATTTATTGAAGTTTTGGTCCAAACACTTATAAAAAAATACAAACCAGCATGAAATATAACCTCATGGCAAGTCCGTCTTCACAGAAGACAAATGAGCAGCACCTGAAAGGGCAACTCTTGCCCCTGGGAAGAGGCTGAGAGGGCACAGATGGCATGGCTTCTCCTTTGCTCTTGGCCAGGAACCCACCTGTTCCCAGGTCTTTGGCTTTGCCCCTCAGCAGCTCAAGTCCCAGTCTTCCAGGGGACGAACCATCAAAGCAGCCGTGCTTCAGAGAGCCCTGGCCTGTCTGAAGCAACCCTGAAGTTCCTCTTCAGCCTGTGGTGAGAAGGGCAGTCACCTACAAGAGTCACCTCAGGTCCTCTGACTTCGCACATAAAAGCTTTCTCATGTCTGCCTGGCATCTCGGGTACGGTGGCAGAAACCCCTTCCACAAAGGATCTTGGGGAGGGCTCTGGTTTCTTGGGGTGACTTGGCTCACAGAACTCGCAAAAGACGAAGTATTGGGAGCAGCAGCAGCAGCAAGAGAGACAAGGGGCTGGGGGCATGTCCTCCTCGCCACCCAGACGTGCCACTTTCTCCAGGGCTCCCAACAGGATGGGCTGACTCCGACCCTGTGAGGCAGAAGAGGTGGAACTGCTGGCTCTGCCTGCTTCCTCAGCAGCTCCCTCCCTGCCTTTTCCATTCTGATTTCACTCTCTAGCATCTCCCAAAGCAGCCACTGCCTTCCATGATCACCTCCATCCTTCTCAAACCCCAACTTCCAAGTCTTTCCAGTCAATTGACATTAAGGCTTTGAAGGGCCTTGCCTCTTGGGGACCCCATTCTCTATGCCCAGCTTTTAAAAAGGTGGGAGTTCCCATAGGCATGACATGGGAGAAGAGTCTGCAGCCTGAGGCTCTGTCAGGACCCTCATGTCTGATGTTCCTGTTCCCCCTGCCCCCCAGCACTCTTCTCCTTTCCCAACTGGCTAGAAGGCCTTTCACAGCCTGGACCACTTACTGCTCTCCTTGCAGCAGACAGACACCTGCAGCCTCAAGCATCGGCCAGAACTCTCCGGAGCTGGCACCGCTGATGGGAAATTGGGAGGAAGAAGTCAGTGCAGAAAACCATTCCGTCCTTAGGCTAGTGTAGGCCCTCTTGGATTCTCTTCATTTGGGAAGCACACCGAGTGCCAGCCCATCCATGCCTCTCAGCACCCCCAGTCCTGGCTTCCATATTCTCTCCTCCTCTGTGCAGACTCAAACTGCTCCCTTACCTTGTCCCAGGCCCAACCCAACATCTTAAGCACTAACCACAGCTCCCTTTCCCACAGCCTTTCCTTTCTCCTTACTACAGAGGTTTCTGCTTTTGACACCACAAAAAGGCAAAGCACCCACTCCTCTCCCCACTTTCCCCAGAAGGCATGCAGTAAGCCCTTCTCACTCACAGATGTAGTAATAAGTCTCTCCAGGCAAGAACTCGAAGCCCAGGGGGAAGGGTGTGAAGTGCTGAATCTTTTCTGAGAATCGCACAGGGGCAAAAGGGGCAAAAGGCAGTGAGCACTTCCAGCGCTGGAAGGCATTTGCCCCCTCTACCTTGCAGGCCTCGTAGCCTGACCAGTCCACCATGTATAAAGTGAAGGTTTCAGGGCCCTCTGGGGGCCCTGGTCTTTCATAGTGTGGGCAGAAGATGTCTAGGTAATCATTGAGGCTCAGCTCCACCACAGCATCCCCACGAAGCAGCCTGTGGGCACAAGGGAGTGAGAGCTGATGGGTTATAGCACAGCACAACTAGAACAGAAATGGGATCTGAGCCCACCTCTCTCACACCCATTAGAGATGTAATAGCTTAGGAAGGCCACCCCTTTTCAACCCCCTTAGAATCGAAGGCTGGCATGCTAACTAAATGCTCTGTTACTGAGCCATGATGAGACTCTTCACTTTTTCTTTTGAAACAGGGTCTTTGCTAAGTTGCCCAGGCTGGCCTTGAACTTATATAGTTCAGGCAGGCCTTGAACCTATGATCCTCCTGCCCTAGCTTTCCAAGTAGCTGAGATTACATGCCTGTGCCAGTTCCCAGACTGAATACCTCCTTGAGAGATGGTGTTGAAGTAGTAAAGGTGATGATCAAGTCAGCTTTAGAGAGGCCAAGGCTGCCATGCCAAGCCCACAAGGCTTGCTTACTGGGGGGAGATCACCATCATACCAGCTTTCAGGACACCTTTTCTCCAGCCCTTTGCTCCAGATGAGGCCTGGCCTACCATCAGTGTGTGGTAAGTACTGAGGGCATGAATGCTGCCAGCGGGCTGAGCCCGAGAGGGAACAGATACATGCCCACAGATGAGGTAGAGATGAAGTTGGAGCTGTTAGGGTCTCCTGTACCATACACAGCGAGAAGAAGACTCTCCCCACCCCACAGCGAAAAGAAAGGCGTGGTAAAAAGAATGAGTAAGGACGCTTCTTCTCTTTTTAGGGAGGATCTCATCTTGTGGCCCAGGCTCGCCTTGAACTCATGATCCTCATGGCTCACCTCAGTCTTGATTCATTTTATCTTTTTTTTTTTTTTTAAGTTATGCATGTATGTGTATGTGGGCATGTGCACAAGAGTGAATGAAGGTGCTAGAGGAGGCTGTGAGCCCCACATGCCACCTCACACAGTCCAGCTACAAAAGACAGCCCTCCACACAATCAAGATCCTCTTCCTCACTTCAAACAAGCAACCTGGGGAGTCACTACAGGTGAGAAGGGCTGGGACAGGCCACCCCCACAGTACCAAATACTGAGTTCACCCAACACCATTCACACAGTAAAAGCATGATTCAGGAAAGGCCTCTAAACGGCCTTCAGTGGCTAGCCAAGGAAGCACCTGCTGTTGGAACTCCTGATTAGAGGGATTCCTGGGCCCAGCTCAGACCACTAGAAGGCAAACTGATGGAAGATAGGGTCTTTGTATGCTTCCTTACATTGGGTGTGGAAGAACACTCCCTACAAGGCCAGAACTCAGTAAATACTTGTGGATTTGGTGAATGAACTAGAAACTGAAGAGCCATGGTCTGAGGCACTGGTCTGGAACTGAGATAGAAGAAGTCAGAGTCCAGGACAATAGCTCTTATCACTCAGGACTGGTATTGGAATAACTATCTTTAGGCCTGCCCTCCTGGGGGTCTGTGGCTTCCCGCCGGGCAGTGTCTCAGCCTCTCTTATTGGTAGTGTCCACCAGCTCAGCTCTGGTCTTGACACACAGTATGTGCTTATCGAATGTTAGTGAATAAATGAACAGAGCCACAGATTGTCTTAAGTAGAAAATCAGAAAGGAAAACAGATGGGGAAGGCAGAGAGGCAGGGAGAAATGGGAAGCAGGATGCAAACAGCACAAAAAAAAAAAAAAAAAAAAAAAAAAAAAAAAGGTTCAAAGGCAGCCAGCTCAGCACAGAGGAAGAAATAAGCATTTAAATCCGTACAGCGGCACTTCTTTTCACAAGCCTGACATCAGCCAGTCCTCTCGCTTCCCAGGGTACTAGGTATTATTAGCCCATTTCGTAGATGACATAAATGAGGTTAGCAAGGTCAAACGACTGACCCACAGGTGAATCAGCTAGAAGGGCAGGGCCAGGATTGGACAGAAATAAGATCAAGATGAAAGCAGAGATATCAAACGAAATCAGGGGCCGAGAGGATCTCAGAACCAGAGAGGAGCTCACGTTCTTTCATTAGGGTAAAGACTCCTCCCGGGCTCTCAGTGGCCCGCCCCAACTCCTGGCCGCCGGAGGTATGGGCTCACCAGAAAAGGGGGGCGGGGCCCGGAATACGGGCCCAGGCCATCCTCAGCTCCCCTCTTTCAGACTCCATCTGACCACCCTCAGGATTAGGGTCCTCCGTTCGCCCCCCCAACACGTGCGGGCGGGGGGACCCCGGGCACGCCTCGCCCCTCCCCCGCCGACTCAAACAAAGGAGCCCCGGCGCGCGGCTGGGCAGGGCTCAGACAGCGCCTAGCAAAAGGCGAGCCACGGGCACGCGCACAGCTCGGGAGCGCGCGGCCCCAGCTCGGCGCTCGCCTTGTTCGGCCGGGGTACCTGGGGTTAGAGGAGTTCCAGTAGATAGGGTGGCGGAGGCTGGAGCACCCCCGCAGGCGCGAGCCGAGCAGCGCGGCCCAGAGGACAGTCCGCAGCAGGGGCAGCAGCCGCATCGCCCCTGGGGTCCAGTCTGGTCTGGCCCGGCCGGTCCCGGCCCACTCCTCTGTCCCGGCGAGAAAGGTACAAAAGTGGAGGGGGGGGGTACGGAAAGGAGGTGGGGTGTGGAGACTCTTAGACCACACCCCTGGATAACTTTCCACCAATGAAAACTCGTCTCCGCCTCTCCACCCTGGGCCAACTCTTGTTAACCCTTTGTGCGTTCCGGTGCGCGCAGGTTAGCCAAAGCTTACCTTTGAAATCTCACCGTGCTGGGAAGGGGTGGCCTAGTCCACTAAGAAGTTTCTGTTTGGAGGTTTTTGGTTTTGGTTTTCTGTGTGTACGTGTCGGTGCGAGTTGTCATGAGGCAGAGGTCTTGCTTCTATCCCTCTCCACCTTATTTTTGAGATAGGGGCTCTCATTGAACCCGGTGCTCGCTGATTGGCTAGGCTTTCAGTCCCCTTAAGCTTGGGGTTGAGGGTCCTCCTGTTTCCTAGCCCCATCTCTTCCCACCTGCCATGGGGTCACGGAAGCAAACCAGTAAACTTAGGGCTTTTTACACGCATGCTGAGGACCCAAGCTCAGGTAAGCCCTTTACCAAGGCCAAGCCTTCTCTCTTATGCCATGTTGTGCTTTGTTTTGTTTAAAACAGGGTCTTAACACTAAGGCCTGGCTGCCATGAAACTTATATTTTAACCCAGGCTGGCCTCAAGCCGGACCGATCCTTCTCCCCATCCTCCCCAGTGCCGGGATTATATCCATGCCCTCATGTGCTACCACCTAAGTAGAAAGTCTTGCTGAAAGTCTGAGAGGCCAGAGCTGGATTGCACAGGCAGTTACATCCATAGCCTCAACACTGGGAGACTGTCTCAGGAGAATCCAGGGCTCCAGTCAACTTGAACTACACAGCAAGCTAGTATTAGGGGCAGGGTGTGTGTGTGTGTGTGTGTGTCTGCGCGCGCACGCTCAATACCAACGCCCCCAAACCCCAGACATTTTTGGTGGCCGAAGCAGAAGTATTTCCGTCCATGCACTGTTCTTTTCTTTGCACACCCAGAGGATGGTACAAGGGGAAAGAATGAAGTGGTTCTGGGGACATCCCCTTCCTATAGAGCATAGGTATCATGCTCGGTGACCATTGTGGGGTACAGCCTACCCCTTATTCCCACACACCTCTCTCCCAGGAGGCCTCAGTCCTGAGGACTAAGTGATGAGGTGGTAGAGCAATTAGCACAAAGCACCTTTGTCCTGGAGCCCCAGGGAGGTGGAGGATGCAGGTGTGAAGCCTTGGAATCCAAGCAGCTGCTGTCCCACTCAGCCCTGGCTCAGGGCTCTAAGGACACCAGTTAGGTCCACTTTCAAGCCTGGTCCGAGGGTAGAGAGGCAGGTCTGACAACTTAGGTCCTCTGTCTATAGCCTCGGTGGGGGCTGAACAGTGTCGACAGGGAGAACTCGGAGACCAGAGGCCATCCATCCCAGACTGGGCAGAAGCAAGCTACATCTCAAGCGACACATTCCAGTTGACCCTTTCTGGGATGTCATCCTTTCCAGCAGGCCCTGGTCTGACCCAGCAGCGTCTCCTAGTGGCCAGACCTGGAAACACAACAGGAACTACCCAGCTTCCAGGAGCAGACACATTCCAAGATCTCACATTTATTACAACAGAGTAGAGACAGGCTGTGCTCGTGCCCCTGCGCCCCTACTCCAGCCCCTCCCCAACAGCCAGCTGCAGTTATTTCAGTGGGTCCCGGTGGCGGTGGCTCCTTAGGGCTGGACACTGCGTTGTCTAGGCTCCTGCTTCTCTAGTCATTTGGGGAGATTCGGTAGAGCCCATCTCTTTAACCTTAAATCTAGGTGCGAGGCGGCCACATCTCAACAGAGGTCAGAGGTAGAGTGAAGATGCCGCTGGGGGTGGTGGGGCCGGCCTGCAGTTTACAGAAACCGAGGAAAAGCGTCAGAGCTCCTGCTCTGGTGCAGGCGACACCCTTAATCTTCAACAGCACCCTCCGCACACACCTGCAGGGCACCACCTGCTGCATGCTTCCATCTCCTGGGCCAGGCCGGTCACCTGCTGGGTGCTGGCCCTGTGGGTTTGTAGGCAGTGGCTTTCTTGGGGGAGGGGGTTTCGTAGGCCCCTGAGACTGAGAGAGAAGGCCAGTTTGGAAGGATGTCATGTTTCTCACCCACAACGTAGGGGTCACAGGAACAGTGCTATAGTGGTCACCTTTGTCTCAACAAACCTGTCACTACCAAAGGTGCCCCTGGGATACATGCCTTTAGCACAGAAGGAGGCATCTTGCCATCACCACCATGGCTCTAGGCAGGAGAGGCAATGCCCTGCTCTCCCCTCACTGTTACCTTTGGGTGCCTCACCACTGGGTCAGCCGGCAGAGGCCGAGTAGGGGGATTGGATCGGTCAGCCAGCTCAGCCTGAACAAAGAGAGGAGTGGTTGCTTTGAAAGCACAGCCAAGTGTTGTGAGTGTGCAAAGGCTCCCCGGAGGTCAGCATGCAAAGTCAGCCAGCGGGGGGGGGGGGGGGGTCAAGGGAAAATGGGAGCATGCGCAGAGGGCTTTGGGTGCTTGCCAATAGACAGGAGCCTCGGGGAAGGAAGGTGTGGATCAATCATGGAGTCCCTGGATGGGTGTAGTCCTACTATTGACCACCAGGTGGTAGTAGAGACCATGGCAGGAGGCTCGCCCTTTGCTGCTTCTGGGACTCTGAAGGCTGAGGGGCACCCTGGTCTCCTACTGATGAACACCACTGGGGGTGATGAGTAGGGATGAGAACTGCTATTGGGCACCAAGCCTCCCACCTGTCCTGAGCCAGGGCAAGGCCCAGCCCAGATTTACCTGGAGTTTCTTGGGCACGGGGTTAGGTGGCAGCGGCCTGGAGGGGGTCACTGGAAAGTTGATGGCACTAGCTTGCTGAAAGGGCAGGAGGCACAGACAGGCAGAGTGGGACACAGATGTGGGCAGAAAGGGGTTAGTGTTGAGACAAGGGCAGCAGGGTCCCAGAGGCAGTGGGAAGTTACTCAGCTGCGTGCAAGGGAGTGGCGTGTAACAGTGGGGACACGCAGGCTGACTCCATACACGCCTCCTGCCGTGAAAGGCAAAGGGCTCAGGCCCTGGGCACTCGGTGCCTTTTCACATATGATGTCCTGAGTCTTGTGAGATCTTAGCTCTCAGAAGGCCCTTTTGAACACCACCCCATTATCCCATGGCACAGGTCACAGTGATGGGCATAGGTAGACCCACTTCTCAAAGCCATCAGTTTGGCCAGCTGAAAGAAGAGCTCAGCAGAGCCTCCTGAGGGTGACTGCCCCGCCCACTCTTGCTGTACTTGTTTCTCTGCCTGCTGCTCGCCCTGACTCCTTAGAATGACTTAGCACTCCACGGCTTTTTTGAGTCTTGAACCTTTAGTGCTACCTGTAGGGCCCGAGGTAGGTACCAAGTAATGAGGACTCTCTTTCCTTCTGGCATCCAGGGCTCACCTTAGTGCCTGGCATATGCTGTGCCCTCTGTGGAGGTCCTGGTGGTCCAGGAAGACTTGACTGGGCTGCCCTGGGTATGAAGAAAGCCAGAGAGAGAGTGGGACTAGCCACATACCTGTGGATCTGGGAGAAATTAACCCTTTGGCCCTTGGAGGATAACCTTTGTGTGGTTTAGGCCGGGGTTGTGGCTGGACAGTCCGAAAGGCTGCCTTTCCCTTACCTTGGGGCCCTGAGAGAAGTAGCCCTAGCAGCCAGGGCTGAGTGAAGTCAAGGGGTGCATGCAAAGGTGATAACGATGTGCGAAGAATGGTAGCGGGAAACTCTAGGTCTGAGCGTTGGAACTTAGAAGCAGGAGGGAAGGGCTGCATGGTTTGGGGCCGCAGAGCTGTCCCTAATCGAAGGAAATAGCAGCAGGGACACAGTGTTCATACCTATATTGGCAGCTGGATCCCTTGAGCTGGCAGAGTCGCTGATGCAGGCGGGCACGGTGCCAATAGCTGGCACCGAGGAGTACAAGGACCAATAGCAGCAGGAGGCTGAGGGGCAGGCCTGTGGTCAGGGAGCTGGTCGCTATGGAAAGAGGTCCAAAGTGAGGGTGCACCTGACTAAAACCTCTCTACCAAGAGAGGCGCAGGGACAGGAATAGGTGGTGTGCACAGACACTAGAGTCAAAGTCAATGATATGGAAGTGAAGGCTTCAGGAAGAGGACCAACGAGAAAGACAAGGGACCAGAGCTATTTCGCCCTCCCCAGTGCCCCATCCTCTAGCTACCTCTGAGCTGGGTCATGCAGTCAGGAGGTGCCCAGCCCTCCTCACAGTGGCAGTGCCTGCTGCTGTCACAGACCTAGAGGTACAAAGCAAGCAACGAGACATCTATAAGATGGGACCATTTCCTGACTTTCCTGATCTTTTTCTTTTTTCTGGTTTTTCAAGACAGGATTTTATATGTATATCTCCAGCTTTCCTAGAACTTGCTCTAAAGACCAAGCTGGCCTTGAACTTAGGGGCCCATATGCCTCTGCCTCCAGAGTGCTGGAACTAACGGTGTGCGCCACCACCACCCAGGCTTTATCTGGCTTTTCAAGAGCTCAGGCTTCTCAAATTGGCAGGAATACTGTGAATAATAGTAGGCAGACAGTCCTGGAGAGAGGTGTTTTTAGTCCATGCCAGGGAAAATGACAACAAGCTGACACTTTTAATATGTCAGTCACTAGTCAGCTGCTTTCATGCCCATTTTATACCTCTGTGGATATGGGTACCATTATTATGTCCACTTGACAGAGGAAACTCCTCAAGTAGGTTAACATGCCCCAGGAAGTGGAAAGACTGGAACCAAGGTATGTCTGCTTCCAAAATCCCTACTTTTTCATTCAGCAGGCTTTTTCCTTTTCCCCTTTCATCTCCACAGCTACTCACCCCATGGCCATGACATTTGCTTCGACATTCCTGTGCTCCCAGGAGATCCACCGGCTGGCACCGACGATCGATGCACACCTGAGAGAAAAGAGCAGAGGTCACATTGTCCCTGAGCCTTAGCTGGACTAGGCCTGCAAGAATGTGAGGCTACCCTTTACAGATGTGAAAC